TACTAGCTATTCTCTCTGCTCTACTACTCTCTCCGCTCTGATCCAACCTACTCACTATCAGTTTGATAACTGCGGACAGAATGGTTTTATAGTAAGGGGAGGAGTAAAGGGAGGAGGGCAGGCTTTAGCGTGGACGGTTAGTGAAGTCATTCGCCAAGAAAAAGAGTCATTAGACTCCAATGTAATGTAATATAAATTCAAATGTAGTAACCAGGTTTCAAGCTGTAGAGGGCACTCCATAGCACATTTTTAAAATAAAATGTAGGTTTTCAACAGTTTGCACTAAACTGTCAAGATTTTGAGCAGGATCAGTCAGTTACACTACTTTACAACCAGAAACAATGATTATCAGCCGAAAAAAATGGTTTTAGGGTTTAGTTACTCTTTAAAGTTACCAACTCCCTCTCCCATCCAATCAATGCATAGCCTCCCCTTGCTTTATATTTCTTTATAGATCTCAATTATGAGAAAAGATCTCGTAATTATGAGATCAGGAAAGGTGCCACATTGGCCACCGCTTCGCTCAGAACCACATACTGCACATCCACAAAGGGGGGTCGGAGCTACTGTAACCAGCTGCCACTCAGGCGGCGCCATCTTCACTAAATCCCATATCTTTATTATACTGTGTATATAATGTAAATAGTCTTGTGTGTGTGTACAGTAATTCAATTTAGTGCCTTACTTTTACCAAGGCTTTTATATATAAATATATATGTATTTATTTGTATTTATATATATATACATATACTGTATACACATTTTATATTGTTTAATGTTTAATTTTCTTTTATTCAAGCTACATTGTCACCCTCCGTTGTCTGTCTGTCCTTTGAGCTGCTGTGACATGTGAATTTCCCAAGTGTGGGATTAATAAAGTTTTATCGTGTCTTATCTTACCTTATATCTTATCTTACGAAGAGGTAAATTCATATACATCTCTGGGTAAATTAACAACTTGGTTTCTTTATAACTAGATGGTTCCATTGCCTCAGCTGTACTCTTTGAGGATTGAGCATTTTTAGCAGGTGCTGCACAGTTCTCTGAGTCACTACCAAACCAGCTTGGATGCATTTCAAATGCATGAATTTGTATCCATGAAGCATCCCGTGTTGGTTCAACTGCTCCTGCAGAAAGAGAGCGACATCCAACACGTCAGACTGGGCTTTCCGCCTGAACAATCCCAACGACTTGAGATGCCTGTGCATTGTTGACATAGTAATATTAATGCCATCCTCATTTTTAAGAAACATCAGTATTTACCATTGTCTCACACAGAGAAGGTAGTAATAGCAGATCAACTGCGATAGCGCCATCATTTCCCACTGATTAGCGAGGATTTACAGGCGACAAGAACTTTTTCTTTATCTTATCTTGAAATTATGAGATCCTGATCTTGTAATTCCTCTGACATCCCAGAAGGACAGCCTCAGTGCTCACTCTTACCCCTGATCAAAATGCATCTAGAGTGTTAAAAATCTTAGAGAGCTCTGACAAAAACTTTCAGAGAATAATCAGCCTTCATGCTCTGATATCAGTGTTCTTCTAAGAGGCCTGATACTGTTTAAAATATATTTCTTGTTTTTAATGGTTTTACCTTTCCCCCCATTATGAGTCTTTACTGATTCTTGTTGTGCTTATTTTGTACTATGGCCTTATGCTTAACCAAAACTGAGAGACTCAATAATGCTTAATAATAAAATAGAAATTAAAAAAAAAAGATATTACATCACTCATCCATAACATGCTAATGTTATTTTGTTTAAAATGTATGATTGGGAAAAGACTCTGTAAAATAATATTATATGGCTTATTATATAAAAATAATTACTTTTTAAAAAAGTAAATTGAAGCATCAGTTAAAGGCAAATAGAACACTGATGTTTTTTTAAATTAGTATGCCTTCTGTAAAATGAAGTAATGATTAAGAAAAAATCAAGACTTGGCCATGACTGAAACCTGAAACAGATGAATCAGATGATCTATGATTACAACATGTCTTTATGCCCGCCTATATGCCTTACCACATTTGGCATGTATACCATATATAACTTGTGCAGTGTCATTAAAACCTGATTCAATATAAAGGCTGCCTGAGGACACATTGTGCAACGCTGAAGACCTGTGAGTTCCTGCTTGTGGTAAAATGATTATCTCTTCACCTTTAAGCCACATTGATGTTCTTTTATTAATATCTAACTTATATTAACATTTGTTATCTTGATTTTACACCTGTTCTAACCAGATTACTTTTTTAACAGGATTGGTGAATAGTGTTGAGAGAGAGGGGGTCAGGTAGGAACAACTTTTAAGTGTTTGAATTGTCTTTATAATCATTTGATAAATATGCAAAATATTGTTCTTTCAATCAATGTCCACAGTTTGTCATGCAGACTTTTAACAAAACAAAACAATATTAGTATTAGTTAGTTTATTGTCACTAATTGAGTCTGAAAAGGACTTTGAATGAAGTTGAAGACCACCTGCAAGGAAACACAGACATGTTTGAGTTTGGATATATTAATCATTCAGCAGACATTTAAGTTCATGTGCTGTTTAATCACATGGACTTAAAGCATTAGTTAATGATGGCAATTCCTTTGTAATTATCGACCAGACATCAGCCGCCACCATGAGTACGGACGCAGAGATGGCCATCTATGGCAAGGCTGCCATTTACCTCCGGAAGCCAGAAAAGGAGAGAATTGAGGCTCAGAGCAAACCTTTTGATGCCAAGAGTGCCTGCTACGTGGCCGATGCCAAGGAGCTGTACCTGAAGGCAACAATCATCAAGAAAGATGGTGGCAAAGTCACCGTCAAGGTCCTGGACACTCAGGAGGTTGGTATCATAAGTCTGAGTCATCTGGAAATTCAATATGACCAGTTCTGATAATCATAAATGTTTTGCTCCAGGAGAGGACAGTCAAAGAAGATGACGTCTCTCCAATGAACCCTCCCAAGTATGACAAGATTGAGGACATGGCCATGATGACCCATCTCAATGAAGCCTCTGTGCTGTATAACCTCAAAGAGCGTTATGCAGCATGGATGATCTACGTAAGACAATGTGCCTAATGACATAACAGTGTGGTTGGAAATACTTGACAGAAACATAGAGTTAACTGCTGAATCTCTGTGATCACTTTCAGACCTACTCTGGGTTGTTCTGTGCCACTGTGAACCCCTACAAGTGGCTCCCAGTGTACGATGCTGAA